TTTAAAGCAACTATGTTGAAAAGAATAATGTGGTTTATTTTCATAATTTGAATAAAGGACATAATAACATTAACTACCAATGTTATAAGTAATATATGTGCAGCTAAAATGATTCATTTCAACACTACTACTATAAACCTAGCTGTTGTAAGCAGGATGGAAACAAAGGATGCTCCCCAAATTAAACACACAGGAATTAGTAAAACTGTACAAAATTATTACTTTTCATGTGATTAATATTTGCATGTATACTTGTTACTTATACATGTTGTATACATGTACTATAATATGGTGGTTAAATTTCTGTAAGTGGTTGCCTGTAATAGTCTAGGCAAAATTTACAGTTTAGAAATGTATAAAACTGACTGGACAAAAATTACAGCTAAAAAATGTCTAAAACTTGCATATCTTTTAAAAAAAAATTCAGTGGATCAGATCATGATACAGTCATATTAATATGCACAGTTCCTCTTGGTAGAGTTATGTTTCCTAAAAATATCCAATGAGTTCCACTGGAACTGTTCCAGTCATTGGTTGCTTCCTGAGAAGTAGCCATAAAAACAATCTTAAATCTGAAAAGGCTTGAATGGCATATATTTGTGTAAAGTACTGCACTAAAAAAAGATTCTACTATGCCCAGCTCTCTTTGGTCCTAAGGAAATCTTCCTATGACTTTTTTATAATATCAAACAAGCAGATGCTCTGAAAAAAATTCAGATGTTATTGGTAGCATAAAAGCAATGTAAGTATTTAACATCCACATAAGTCAACAAAACCTAAGTTAGTCACTTTATACAGTACATGTACCTACCTCCTAACAAACAAGGAATGGTTGACAGGTGGAATGTTTATTAAACTTTAATGCAGATAAAATACTGTTTATCTGTCTAACACCAACTCCAGAATGTGCCATAGCTGAAAAAATGAAAAATAAAAATTGGGTATTTTAACATAAATGGTACCTTGAATAATAATGACAGCTTTGCTTTTTTGTGCCCCCACGTTAGTGGCGGGCATTTAGATTAACCCTTGTCCGTCCATCTGTCCGTCCTTCCGTCCGTTCACTTTTGTGTCGCACGTAACTCAAAAAGTATTTGACCTTGAGTCATGAAACTTTACAGGAATGTTGATCAGCATGTCTGGTTGTGCACCTGGGTATTTTCGTCTGGATATTTTTAGTATTTTCAGAGTTATTGCCCTTGACTTAGTAAAATTTTTCAATTTTCAACTTGTGTCGCATGTAACTCAAAAAGTATTTGACCTAGAGTCATGAAACTTTACAGGAATTCTGATCAGCATGTGTAGTTGTGCACCTGGGTATTTTCGTGTGGATATTTTTAGTATTTTCAGAGTTATTGCCCTTGACTTAGTAAAATTTGCAATTTTCAACTTGTGTCGCACGTAACTCAAAAAGTATTTGACCTAGAGTTATGAAACTTTACAGGAATGTTGATCAGCATGTGTAGTTGTGCACCTGGGTATTTTTGTCTTGATGTTTTTAGTATTGTCAGAGTTATTGCCCTTGACTTAGTAAAATTTTGCAATTTTCAACATGTGTCGCACGTAACTGAAAAAGTATTTGACCTAGAGTCATGTAACTTTACAGGAATATTGATCAGCATGTGCAGTTGTGCAACAGGTATTTTCGTCTGGATGTTTTTAGTATTTTTAGAGTTAATGCCCTTCACTTAGAAAATTTCTGCAATTTTCAACTTGTGTCGCAAGTTACTCAAAAAGGATTTGACATAGTCATTAAACCTTATGGGCTGGTTGCTCAGCATATTTAGATTTGCACCTGGGGTTTCGCTTGTGGATTTATCCAGTATTTGTAGAGTTATTTCCCTTGACTTAGTAAAAAGATTGATAGAACAGTGGCATGGTGGAGGCACCCGTGTCCTATGGACACATATATGATCATGCAAGAAAACAATACACAATGTATATGCTTTAACAATGTAACTTTATTTAGTAATCTCACTTATGGTAAGAGTGTATCATATATATACAGATTATCAAAGACACAACTGCAAATCTACTCCTGTAGCTTAATAACATTCTGTGGACGCCTTTTATGTGAATTTAGATGTCAACAAAGAAACCTTTACTTATGTAAATAAACTTTGAAAAGTGTACAATATAAAAATCCGAGTAAACTGTACATATTTCATTTTGACTACATAGTTTTTAATTAAAAAATACAGAAATATTAATTATTATTCAAAAAGTCATATGTAGTAAATATTTCTTTGGTACACTAAATAACCAAAATGTAATGGAAAACTGTTTATAATGTGTGAACAAAATAATTAAACATGCAGTTTTATAACATTAGTTAGCTTACAGATCACTATAAGGAAAAATGAAACTTATGCTAGACACTGGTAAAACAATACAGAAGGTCTTTGGAACTCCAAGAAATATATGTGTATAATGTTTAAATTTCAGTGAATCAACAGTATGACCCCCAAATGTCTTTTTAAATTTCTATATTAATTCATAGAAAAGTATTATACATTTATTGTAATTCATTACAAATTTCTATCTACCAATTACTTTCATTTTCAAATGAAATAGTATCTATGCTTTATATTACATGTATATTTAAATTTTCAGTTTTCTTTGTATTGGACAAATTAAATAGATCTACATGAATAAATATAAAAAGTTGTTCATTACAACCATATATTATACTTTGGCATGGTAGTGCTGAAGAAAAAAATATTATGCAGCTTGTGAAATGTAACAAATATAATAAAACAAAACCTTGGCACAGTTGTAATACTGTTCATAGATGTGTAAACAAAATATAAAGCTGATGAAAAGTAACAAATATAATAACAAAACCTTGACACATAGAAATACTGTTTATAGACGTGTAAACAAAATATGCAGCTGATGAAAAGTAACAAATATAATACACAAAACCTTGGCACATAGAAATACTGTTTATAGACGTGTAAACAAAATATGCAGCTGATGAAAAGTAACAAATAGTTTGTACCAGTTTGTAAAAAAAACAGCTTCATTTCACATATCTTCATCAACAATGACAATTAAGGCAAGAAATAACAATAGAATTTACAATATAATGCATTTCAATTGTTAATATCAATAGTTATACTGTTATAGTAACCTTTTGTGAAACGTTACTGTTGGAATCAGTTTTCTGTGGTGCTTATATCATTCTCAGTAAGAATTTCATTAATCGTTTATCTAATTTTCAATGGTTTATCGAAGTTAACGTTGAATTATATCCTGACTCACTAGCCACTCTGTGAAAAAAATCATCGAATTTGATAACTGGATAAATATCAAAAAAGTTGACCAAGTATACTGAAAGCCGGAAAAAATATGATGACAACGTCATTAAAATGACTTCATCTTTGCGATGCTTAATTCCTGATAAAAAGTTTCCTAAAAAAACAATCATCCTATATATCACAGAACAGTAATTAATTATGGATAGATTCCTTTAAAAAATGTGAAATAATACTGATTTAACGAAACTATTTTCAAAGATCAAATTTGTTGTGAAGAAGTTCATTTAACAAATTGTCAGTAAAAATAGTTGTTTCAGTAATTTATCTGATATTATCAAAGTTTCAACAATAACAAAAATAAAGATTACAAGCAGCATCATTGTAAAGTATTTCAACTTGATTTTAAAGGTTAATACCATATCTATATATGTGTTCCCTGTTAGTGTTAAGTTTGGATAAGATGTTATAATTGTAGGACGTATCCAAATAATATTCCTCTGAATAAAACAAAATTAATTTTCCTCCCGTGTAATACACAACTTTTAAAAATGGCCGCCACTTACATTTCACAAAGCCAGGTCCTACATAAATTTGCCTGAGTAACAGAAATAAGGTGGGATGATGTGACTTTTTCTTCTAGAATTGGTTGTTTTTATTATCAAAACAAGCGATCGTTTATTTTTTTTGTTTTGAATAAAATAAATAAAATCATTGCAACGTTGATTGTCAAACTTTTTTTCAGCCCAAGACTTCCTGTTTTTAAGAGAAATTGGACTTAAATTCATCTAAAATTGATGTTAACAGTGGGGAAAACAGATTTAATATTAAAGGTAATATTGAGGAAATTTCATTAGCATAAAATAAAGACACTTTATTGTTTGTTGTGTAAGATGTAATTTTATATCATAGAGGTACTTTTAAAAAACAGTTTTCTCACAAGTGGCATAGACTACAAGTGGCATAGCCACTCTATGATATAAAATTTCATCTTACACACAAATATCATAAAATTTCATCTTACACACAAAAATCCTCTATAGATTTGCATTTTTTAAAATAAAAACATGTTTAGTCACTTCCTTCATTTGCTTCAGGTAAGGTCATGGACACTTTGTTTCTTGCTTTCCTTCCCCCCATCACGGTCCCGCGCCCCAGCCAGCCACTTTAAAACCTCTATTTCTACATCCTTCCTCGTTGCAGTCTTTGTCGGCAAGTTCCTTTGAACACATTCTATAAAACAAACATCCTTATTCTTAATGAATGAAATGAAATGCAGTGAAATGTAGGTATTGAAACGATTCAAAGGTCACAAGTCACCTTGTAGCATTTTGAGCAGTATAAATTGGAATATAAACTAATTCTGGTATGTTTTAACAAATATAGATGTTTGTGTCCCGGTTTTACATAGCTTTTCAAAATATTTCTGTGATATCTCTGCAGTCAGTTGTAAGCTGAGATCATCTTATTGGTGCATCAGTAAAGAATGTTAAGGTAATCAAATAACTTTCTTTACAGGAAGGTGATTTCTGTTTATATTATGCATCACAACACAATGCATGGGATCAAAACCACACAGCATGTAAAATATTCTCTCTTATTAATTTCCATAAAAGCTAGTCAAGCATTTTCCTTCATTAAAGCAATACCCGAAGACACAATAACAAGATCTTGGATAATATATCTATTTTGAAGACACCACTTTGCAAATTTGTAAAATATCACTTACTATACAATATACATTCAGTATCTAGAGGCCCACAAACTTTTTCTTCCCCTTCAGCCACTTCATATTGTACATTCTTGCCAGTTCATTTGACATGGTTTCTTTCATCAAGCGGTCAACAGTTTCCCGTACATCTGCCATACCAAACATTGAGAGGAACCGCACCTTAAATAAAGCAGAACATAAACTTTTTTAATGTTAATTTTAACACTACTAAGTGATGGGCTGCAAGTCACCAAATGACAAATAATTGTCAACTGGACCTCAAAAACATGATCTGCCAAGAAAACTGTTTGGATTGACAAATTAAAAGATCTTTTTTCATATATTTACAGCCTAGGACAACACCTTAGTGACTTGTGCCTTTATGTTTGTCCCCTCCACCGAGTGTTATGGGGCACATTATCATTGTTTTTTTTATACAAGAATTTATACAATATCAACAGAATAATTTTTGATAATATAATAACAGCTCAATTCCTGGATTTTGTGGGTACTAGTCATTTTCCTGGTATTTTGAAAGCTGCCAGCATTTTGATTAATGAATTGACTGTCTTGTCCTAATTAATAATTAATGTTGAAAACGAGGCCAACTGCCCATGTCTTGTGCTCATGGCTATTATAACATATCTAAATAACATAACTGTGTCAATATGAATAAAAAAAATAAAACATGCCAGTTTTTAATTCTGAAATTAATGCAACAAAGTGTTTGTCCACTGTGCAATATTTTCCAACATAAATATAGCAGAATGATTATACATTATCTACAAGTGCTCACCACAGACCATTATGTTATTTCGCTTTTAGGCCAGTGGATATGGGGTATACTTTTTTCAGTTACTAATGGAGCAACATACATGACTAACACTATGCTTACCACAGATGAGAGCATTGTCTGATCTCCCAGAAGCTCATCGAATGCTTCCATCTGCTCAGGATAACGAATAGGGAATGAGATATCTTTCGGAAGATGCAGCGGTTGGTCATCTGCTGCTGACCTTAACAGCATTCGCTGCACCATCCTCTTAATTTCACGATTCTTCTCTCGCATTGTCTCCAAGACTCGGAGAATCTGTGTAACAGCAGCTGAAAAAAAGGATTCATAATTCTAGGCCATATACTTTTAGAGCTATGTGAATTACAAATGAGCCATGTCACGACAAAACCAACATAATGCGTTTGCGATTAGCATGGATCCAGACCAGCCTGCGCATCCATGCAGTCTGATCAGGATTCATGCTGTTCGCTTACAAACCCTATAACAAGTAGAGAAATTGATAGCGAACAGCATGGATCCTGATCAGACTGCGCAGGCTGGTCTGGATCAATGCTGGTCGCAAACCCATTATGTTGGTTTTGTCATGACGCGGCTCAAATGAAAAAAATACAGTATTTTAAATTTTTCCTTGGCTTTAACAGTAATTAACGCTAAAATCTCAAAAGGATTTTTGAGTTTATGCAAGGTCACAAAATGTGAAAATGATAAGAAATCATGAATTAAACTTGACATATTTTTGAGCCTAGGCATGTCATTTGGTGAGAATAAACATTCTTGACTCTTCCAGGGACCGTAACTTTGGATAACAGTAGTGGGGTCAGGCAAGAATATGCGCACAAATTCACATCATGATAAAGACTAACACAAGTAATCATCAATTTCTTTTAAATATTTTTTTAACTAGGGGCATCACAAGGTGAAACTTTCCATTTTTGGCTGTGTCACTCAATCCAGCTTGTTATAACATTTATTGACTTGTTTAGAGGATAGAACATTTAATAAGTATGTACTGTAATAATAAATATATTTATAGCTCCGAAGTTTATACTTACTGGGCCCAATAATCTGCCCACGGAAGGGTGTATTGGAGAAGCACTTTGCACATCACTGCTGGCCTCTCTCAATGCCTGTGCAGATAAGCGAGGCGGAGATGAAAGTAGGCTTTGTGCCTGTTTGGGCGTTGTTGCTTGGTCAATAACTTGTGGTGGCCTACTCTCTGTGTCTGTCTCATTCTCATCAGTGCCACTATCCGATTCATACAGCCTTTTTGATGGCCTATTTACAATAAAATGAAAATACATTAATAAGTAATTATAAAATACATATACATTAAGTGAGTTATTGCGCCAAGTGACAATATGATTATGACCCGTAATCGGCTGGCAAACATGTACTAGTCTATGTTTACGTACCGAATTGTTGTGCCGCAATTTTGTCTACCAAGGATTTTTAGCACGAATGCGTTTGTTTCCCCGATGGATATTTCATGAACGGGAAGGGCTAAAGACTTGGGGTCGGTCCCATTTGGAAGCTTAATACAAACGTGAAAGTGATAAAATATTTTTTTAATTGTTTTCACAACGGCCCTGGAAGTGAATCCCTTGCTTGCAGGCTCGAATCTGGAGTTTCTGGCCTTCTCTGAACTTTAAGTATGTTTTTAAAGGGGGGTATAATTTACAATTTTTTTCGGTTTTTTACTTTTTAAAGATGAACACAGGTTTAATTATCTATCGGGTCATATTTTTTCTTCCCAGGTCCGATACTCGTGCCTGTGCAACATAGGGCTTGGTTGGTACTTGGAAAAAATACTTGAATTTGTAATAATAAGTATTTGCATTTAATATTTTAAAATGCTTATGAATGAAATATTGGTACAAAATGGAAGGGACTTCTAAGGCTAGGAGGGGTCACTGGATTTCAAATGATGGTGTCCCTTCAAAAAAGGATCTCTTAAAATTTAGTCTAGATAGAAACAATATTATTAAAATGTTAGTGTCGACTCCGTCACAGTTAAGTTATTCAACAATAACAACTATACACATCCATAGGTCAGCTAAAGTGTCTAATAGTGGGCGTAAATTCTAGAAAATGTCGCAAATTAAACTGACAAAAACTATCGCGAAATTACATGGCAAAGGCAAAAACAAAAAATAAATGACGTTTACACTTACCTACACACACAATAAATCTGTAAGGATATAATATGAAAGGTCGTTATACGAAATCGTCGTTAAATGTTCCGAATTGAATTGAAATATTGTTTTCGTGTACAATTTTACAATTTAACGTTTCAATACACACGTCTGCGCATGCTCGAAATAAATTTTTCATTTGATTTTAAGCTGAATTAATAGTCTAAAAACAGAGGACCTGCTCAATGCTAATATTTATTGGGTTGCCCGAATGGGACCCATATGGGTCCCTCATGGCTTGTATATATGTTAATACTACGATTTTTATAAAAGATAATAGCAATTTATACCAAGGTGGTCACACTATAGCTCAAAGTAAACAAGTTCTAAAGAAATAAATAAACGAAAAATCGTTTTTCCTTATAGTGTTGTAATATGGGACCCATATGGGTCCAATATGGGCGTACCCAAATGGACTTGCCCATATTGGTCCCATATAGGTCCAATATGGGCATACCCATATGGGCTTGCCTAGATATAGCCCATATGGGTCCCATATATGCATGTTTGCTGGGATATTGTATAGAGGGAATTGTTGATAAGTGATGTATTACTGTGTAATTTTCACTTTGTGTAGTTCATAATATAATAATGATAAAAAAGCTTTAATTAAAGTAACTTACTTAAAAACAAACTCAATAATAATAATAATAATAATAATAATAATAATAATAATAATAATAAAAATAATAATAATAAATAATAATAATAATACTATTATAATAATAATAATAATAATAATAATAATAAATCAATAAATTAAACATTAGACAAGTATTTACAATAGTTTTAGATAACCTTGGTTTTCTACACTATTCTTTTTACCATTCTATTTAATTTAACTGCAAATTAGTATCACAAGGTAGGGATGTTTTCAGAAGTTATTAACTTTCAACTTGTTAAAAGATTACACATACATATGAAATCGGTTGACTTTTGATGGAAAATTGAAAACATTTTACGCATATAATAAGAATAACATAGTGTGGTTCAATGACGAGTTTCTAGCTGAGCGATTGCCTAGATTTCAACATAGATTTCATTGCTATTACGTCTCTCTGCATGTTTTACATATATTTGTTTTCAATGTTCACACGTTTCATTAAATGCTTTGTTTCATTTATATTAAACTAATTCAATAACATGTATAGATAGTAAACAATTAACTTAGTATCATGTGTTATTATTATAATGATGAATAGACAATATAATAGCAACGTGTTATCTAGACCACATTGATACAAATGTTAAGGCTAAACCTAGTTGATTGATATGTTAACAATTGTTTGAAGGTTAAATTGAAGATATAATGATTGTATTTATAAACATTACAAATGCTAAAACTGTAATACTTTTATCAATACCAACTAAATAATTGGAAAAAATAAGGTTTTAGCAATATTTCACGCACATGTTTATGTATATTTTTCTCTTCTCTTTTCAGTCAAACAATAATTGTCTTTCTATATTGCAGTGTTGACAGTTTCAGGTTTTGGTAAACAATTTAATAACGCCATGATTAAACCTTCGACACTTTCCAAAGTCAACAGCCATAATGAATATAAAACTGATAACGGTTATCCATTAATTTGTCGTTCATTAAATGAAGGAAATTGTATCAGCTAAATGTATGTAACAAGTTGAATGAAATATTATTATGCGAACATCTGCTTCAATTGTTATCAGTGATATATCGGGTGTTTATATATAAAAAGGATTTATTACACACCTGCATTTGAGCTTATGTGGTATATGAAATTAAAATCGCAGCAATATATTGAATTTAATTAGTTTAATCACAGCTCTCAATACAATTTTGTTTTATCTAATAAATTGCATTACAAATAAGAAATGTGATGCAACTTTCTTTATATTTTCAACTGATTCGAAAACAACCTTTAAACTTGTATGTCAATTAAACGTCATTTGTTATAACAATTCCTATGATTAAGAACAGTAAATAACAAGGCTCGGTTAACATACCACTAGCTTGGATATTATTTCGGCTATGCAACAGTGTTATATACGTAATTTTCACTGTGGTTGATCATGAAATCCATTCTACCATATTTCGAAGATTACCTTTGCCCTAGCATGTACTGAAGAAATCAGCAGGACCTACCCAGGAAAATGCGGTTTCTGAACTGTGCTCTGTTAAATTATTTGTTTGTGGCTTTCTGTGGTAAGGAGATTAAACTACTAATGTTATTATGTATTATGTAAATGTTTGTTTTGAACATCTTAAAAAACCTATCATGCTGTAGATGTTATGAAAAAAAACTCTTTGCAACAGTGTAAAACCATCTTTAACTGAAGCCAAGTGACATACAGAATGTCAGAATAATCATACAGTTTTACTGTACATAGTTTTTTTTTACAACGAGTCAGCGATACACTGAAGTGTATCATATTTCAATGTACAGTTTCATTTATAAACCTGTTGCTGGGAGTGTAAAATTTATCTACATGTTTAAATGTCAGATCGTTTATGCTAGCAAATATGCTCGTTTAGAGAGAGATTTTACATCAGTTAAGAGAGACACGCTGATAGTGTCTAGCGGTTATTTTTTTATTGGGAAGAGAATTTTGTTGTTTTGAAGAGAATTTTGTTGTTTTGAAGTCAGTTTTGTTGGTTTGTTGAAGTGGTTGAATATAATTGTGGTGATCTTAATTGATCAGGGTTTTATTGGTTGTAATTTGTTGTTTTGGTTGTTGAGTTATATCTGTTTGTGGAGATATAATTAGTTGATATTGGTTGAATGTTTGGTATTGTCAAGATTATATTAGTTGCTGCTTTGTTTTGAGGATATATGTAAATATTGGGTGCTTTAGTTTAAGTTGTTTTCTGATGCTGATTAGATTGTGTGAAGTTAATATTGTTGTATGAATGTTTGTGGTTTATACCGTATCTTAGAGTTGTAAAAATATTCATTTTTTGTGTTTTTTTCATTTTGTGGTAATTTTATTGTTGTTTGATCATAAGTTGTTTAGAGCTTGGGCTCGCCAGGTGTCTTGTTTCGTATAAAAGACGTATACGTGAAAAGATATTTCATATAAGTGGCTGATAAATGATGTGTGTTTGTTTTGGGTGTAAATAATGAATCAGAGTTCTGTGTTTTTGGGTGTAAATAATAATCAGAGTTTGTTGTTTACATGTATATATTGATTTGAGATAGAAAAGGATAAAAATACCTAAAAAAGAGTGTTAACTAAACAATTACATGCTAGTTTTCCAACTGAGAATATTTCAATTTTATGTCAGGCGGTACTGCCCAGCCTCCATATCTTGGAAATTGGTTCTAGTATATATTGCTAAATCTTTCCTAAGATTAAATAACATCAAGGCAGACATTTCTCCTGACAATTTGGGGGCTCGTCCGGATATTCTCTTTAAGTTGGAATTTTTCCTGGCAAAATATTGTTTGTTAAATTTTTGATAATTTTTCTGTTAAAACCTTAAATCATTTACGACCTGTTGTTAAAATACTGCAGTGTAAAAGCTGTAGGCGAAAATCGATAAACGTGTGTTGTAGTGTTATACAAGTACAACTCTCTGTACAATAGAGTTTAAATAGAGAGTTATATGTAAAGAAGCGGTGACGGTCTGTGTTTAAAGTGTATACTGAAGAATTTATTGCATTTTAACAGGAGATCACCCTTTGTTGAATACTGTTTATACGGTGATAGAATTAAGTGGTTTTGGGGAGACATTTGTTTTGATAGTTTTAATCATTGTGTTAATAAGTTTATATCGATTATAAAGATATAACTTATAATTTGTTGAAGTTATAAACAGCAGTAATTGATAAAAGTTTATAACCGGTGTACAGTGGGTGATTATTCATAAAAGTGTATGTAATAATTGAATAGATGGTTTTTGCCGCCGGTGCTCAGTTGGTTGTTATCATAAAGTTTACATAATTGTTAAACGCTGCATGAAGATTGATATCGGTCCCCTGGTTGTTACTGTTGATACAAGTTCATTGCCGGTGCCCGGTAGGTGCCATTGTTATATAGAGATTAGATTTGGAATAACGATTGTCGGTGCTACAAAGGTACAGCCATTTTGTTGAGTAATAAGTGTTTACTTTACGGGTTTCGTAAAAGTTTATTTTTTTTAATAGTAATCCATTATTAAGCAATTATGGATTATGATAAATGGGTATCATTGGGAGAGAGGCTTGGGTTGAAGGACGGAGAGTAACGTGATTATGTTCAAAAGAAAGAATCAGAATATCTTGATAGAGAAGAGAGAAATATTAGACGTGATGAAGATAAACGGCGATTTGAGGCAGAGCGTTTAGAAAAAGAAGCTGAACGTGAGGAAGGGCGACGGCGTTTTGAGGCCGAGCGTCTGGAAAAAGAGGCCGAGCGTCTAGA